TTATTACTCGTTTGCCCATATATTTGTGTAAGTTCATTTGCATTTTTCTTTTTTAATTTGTCTGTTATGGAAATATGTTTGGGTTTACCATGCATGCTTTGACACCACTGCGGGCGCGCTTGTTACACAAATAAAGAAATTATACCGCCGGGAGGCGTGCACGCGCCATTGCAAGCGCAAGAGCTCTGGATCGGATAAAGCAATCAGACGCGCACATGTGGCAGGCTTGTAAAACAATATTTGAGCTTTTTATGCTTTAGGGTTACGTTCGCGTTCAAGTTAGTGTTGGTTTTAAAGTAATCGTGAAGATGATATAAAGATTTTGAGCAAAAATTTGTGCATCTTAAAAAAGCGCGGTGCATTGTAGCGCGATGCACTACTGGCAACTAAGCCGCGCCGCGCATCAAATAATTCTTCTCGCAACCAGATCGCACGGCGAAATGCACAACTGGGCCTCATCGAGCTAGCTACGAATGATTCACATCGTGAATCAACGCGATGCACTGCTTAATTGACGATGTCAATTCATGGCAGCTCGGCGCGGCACAGTAGCGCAGAACGCCGATCGTTGTGAGAAGCCTTATTGAGTGCGCGGCGCGGCACAGTAACGCATCGCGCTACAATGCACTGCGTGATGGCAGCTTTCAGCCCAGTGGTGCATTTCGCCGATCTATCTCGTGGTTGCGCGGCGAGAAGATGCGCGGCGCGGCCCAGTACACAGGAGGACTATAGTGCAAACAACTGCTGCTAACTGCTGCTAATTGCTGCTCACTGCTACTCACTGCTGCTCACAATTTTATAATTAGTGTCAAATAAAACAGACAAAAACATATTTCATATATATATATATATAACTAGCACGAACTTTAGATCAGATATCCTATTATATGGGACTTGGAGTAGCAAGAGATTGACTAGAAAGTATTTACCTTTTACAAAGATACGTCAAAAAGAATCCAGGGTCATACAGGATCGGAGAGTGCAGACTATAAAGTTTACGCACCCACCTTTGCCTCCTGAATTCTTGGTTGGATAGAAATGTATGCAAACTTGGTCGTTTATACTCCAAGTCCCTTTGTTAAAAGAAGTATTGATTGACGGTGTCAACCCAACAATCGACGATGATCTTCGATGCGAAGCAAGAATGCTAGTTTGCGCGGCGCGTCGAAGCGGCGAAGTAATATTATTTATGTCCAGAGTTAGCTTCATTCAATAATAACAATATCAATATAATCAATATCAATATCAGACAAAACTATCGAATAAATTATTAAATATTAATTAATTCGTTCCGATTAAAAATTTTATAAATTTAGATATTTAGTATTTAAAAACATTACAACAAATGGTTAAAAGCGCCCAAAATCGATTTGAGAGATTTTCAGTCTATAGTACAATCATGATGGATGATAGGGTCTTCATTAACAGCAACCCTCTCGAAGAAGTCCACGACTTTAAATATCTAGGATCCTACATCGCTTCAACCAGCAAATACATCAATGTCAGGAAAGGCCTTGCATGGAAAGCACTTGAAAGTCTAGATGTTTTCTGGAAATCTGACATGTCTAGAAAGATCAAGACTAAAATTTTCAGAACTGCAGTCGAGCCTGTTCTTTTATATGGCGCAGAAACATGGACTTTGAAGAAAGCTGACACTAAAGCACTAGACGGTGTTTACACACGAATGCTACGAAGGGTCTTTAGTATCTCATGGAAATCCCACACACCTAACTCCGTCCTCTACGGAAATATCCCATCGGTGACTGATACCATCAAAACACGAAGACTTCGTTTTGCAGGGCATGTCTACCGTCTACAGGACCAACCTGCTCAGCAACTCCTTTTCTGGCATCCATCTTACGGCAAAAGGTATCGAGGACGACCACACAAGACCTTTCCGGACGTCCTTCAAGAAGATACTGGTTTAGAGCCCCACATGATACGTCTGCTCATGAGTGATAGAGATAAATGGAGACATGCGTTGACACGAAACTCGTTCCAGATTTCATCTGGACCGACCTAGGCAGGTAGGCAGGTACAATCATGATAGTAATAGTAAGCAGTAAGTGTGTGCTGCTGCAATTAGATTAGATTACTGCAATTTAAAATTTAGAATTGTTTGGAGTCCAAGTATCTTTCAAGTCAGCTGCCTGTGCTTGTATTAAAAGTGCTTTAGTTCTCAATTTTATCAAGTTAATGGAAGTTTCTAGGCAATTGCTTAAAGTTTAAAATTTTTTACAAACAGCGTTCCAAAGCTTGGCTGCATTAAACAAAAAGGCATTTATTTAGAAGAATAGTTAGCAGCAGTTAGCAGCAGTGAGCAGCAGTTAGCAGCAGTTTCTTTGCACTATAGTCCTCCTGTGACCAGATTACAAATGTTTAGCTGCACTGATGAACTTAGGAACATAATGGCTCTACCACCAAAATATTGAGGATTAAGTATTCCAGTTACGATGGACATTGCAGATCGAGAGTATAAATTCTCATGTAAAGCAACAAAACACCTAAAAGAAGCGTTTCTCAAGCAGGTAGACAATTACACAGCGAACTGGACACACAGCAAAGGAGTGAAACCCGAAATAACAACCGAACGAAATATCTTCTATCTACAAAAACAAGCAGAAATACGTCAGGAGCTCGAGTCAACACCACTGGGAAAGTTGATGTTCCAACTAGCTGCTGAGAAAAGGGCAAGTGCTTGGTTAACAGCACTTCCATTAAAAGAAAATGGATATCTGATGAATAAACAACAGTTCTCAGACGCAATAGCTCTCAGATATAACCTGAACTTAAAGGATAGCCCTAAGACATGTACGTGTGGCCAGAAATACTCGGCAAATCATCATCGGTGGGTATGTGTCACTGCGGCACAACTCGTTGAGAGACACATTTGCAGAACTAATTAGAACTGTGAAATGCAAGGATGTGCAGACTGAGCCAGTTCTTCTTCCAGTTGATGGTCTAGAGTTGCCAAAGGGAACAGTCCTAGGAGACCAAGCTAGGCTGGACATTTCTGCAAGATCGATTTGGAATGCTTCAGAGAGGGCATATTTTGATGTAAGGGTGTTCCATGCCCCAGCCCCCTCCAATGCAAGCAAATCGATCCCAGCAATGTACCAGTCCCATGAAAATGAGAAAAAACGGTGTTACAATGCAAGGGTTCTGGAAGTAGAGGAAGAAAGCTTCACACCGTTAGTTTTCTCAACGTCTGGTGGAATGGGTGGTGAAGCTGAAAAACTAGTAAAGAAGCTGGATAGTAAGATGGAATACCACACAGGGCAAAGGTATTCAGATGCTGTGGGATACATAAGGAAGCGCCTTCGTTTTGAAATTCTAAGAACAACAGTGATTTCTCTACGGGGAGACAGAGGTGCGAGAAAGAACATTGTTAATATAAATAGTTTAGATTTGAATTTGGAGCCACAAGGCCAAGGGTGATTTTCAAATGTTTCTCCCAATTTTTGAGATAGGGAATATATCGATTTTTTGAAGGGTTCTTTTATATATAGGGTCATTGTGACAATTATGTGACAATTATGTGACAATTATGTGTATATTGTTTGAATAATTTTTATTTTTTAATATATTTATACATGTAGAACAACTTAAAAACTTGACTGTAGATATGCCAGAAGTATTGAAGCAATTGATGGATATGTGCGCAGGAAGGAGGAGCCTGTTTTATCTTACATATGACAGCAATTTACATAATAAATGATCACAATTATCCTCCAACAGTGATCAATCAAAATTTACTTTAGATTCATGGGTGGTTACTGGTTATGGTCAAAAATCTATTTACAAGCACCATTCAACAGTGCCCTGCACTGCCATCCTGGGAAATATTTATCCCTATGTAAGAATAAATAACATTGCTTATATATAAATTAGCTGAAACTATAACAACAGACCCTAATTATACCGTCGACAATTCATATGACAAATTTTACACTGCAATCATAGTCGACGATAACTTAGTATCTTCTAATTCTTTTAAATCTGAGGCATATATAATTGATGTATCGAAAGGATATTCCATTTTTTACCACCTTACCATTCTAATTGATTTTGCACATGACTGACATGTTTTAACTGGAGAAGGGGTTCGCACAGTGGAAGTTTTATAAACCACTTTTAATCTATTGACCTATTATACCTAGTGGTAGTTTTACAGACCACATTTAATTTATTAACTTATTATACTTAGTATTTATTTTTGGTGACTGTATCACCCAGTTTTAACATTTGATAATTGTACAGTTTATTGACGACACATTGACTGAATGTTATTTTATATTCTAATTTATATACTAGATATTTTATTTATTTTCCAACAGACGACAACTTCCTGTTTTTTTTTCTATATTAGTTACTCATATCTCTTGTACAGACTGTTTTACAAGGACATTGACAGATGATACTCACATTAGGCATTCATTATTGCATCTAAATTATTTCACTCGCATTAGGTTTAGAAATTTATTCTCTGGTTAACAGATTTCAAATGTTTAATTAATTTGTAGTATGACAGTAAGGTATGTAAGAAGTTATTTAATTTTGCTTGGGCTATTATATTGACAATGATGATATGGAATTTGAATTTTATATAAATTTACACTATGTGGTTGGGGCATTTTGCATAGTAAATATGGTTACTACTCCTATATATCATATTATTTGATTGGTATTCGATTTCTGATTATTTCCCTAGGAATATGATTATTATATCTCAATTTGGCTTTAGGTAGGGTGCCCCGCTAAAAGAACTGGATTCTTCCAGGAAGCATCCCGTGCACAGAGCTTCGTCTACATATATATTAAATTATTAACCATTCATTCTGTATGTGCACGAAAATTTATTTCAATCAATTAGCTGAAACCATGTTGGACACCTAGTTGTTTAGTTGCTACGAATTAAGTGACTGCCATTTCTTGGAAGATTTTGAAGTAATATCGTCCTTGTCTGTGTGATATTAAAACTTTTACTTAAATTTCCTCGCAGCAATAAATGTCTGACAAGGAACAGCAGCCAGCCTTTGTGGTAAGTTTCTAATTTATTTAAACAGCAAGGCTACTAATTAGTAATCAATACATTTTTATTCAAAGTTATGTGACTTTGTAAATCCATTATTTTTACTTGGATAATTTTGCAGCCCTTTAAACCAAGGAGGGGACAGCGACAGAATTTTTACAAAATTCGGAATAGAGTTTGCCTAGACTCAAAACATTTAATGTTTAAAGATCAAACTAGATCAAATAAATATTGTACCCATGATTAGATAAAAATCGTATCCTAGGTCCCAGTAAGTCCACTTGATAAGATGCTGAAACAGGTACCTCCACTTACTGAGTACGCAAGTAACAACACTCCACTGTAAGTTAGATCAACTCTAGAATATATTCATATTTTGTGTCTCCCTTTGTGTCCAAATACAAAATATTCTATATTTAAGTTGTATATTTAAGAATCTGTTGATAAAAGTGAGAATACGGTGGTTTTTCTCTTCCATTGAATTATTACCTCAAGATTTTATTCGCAAATTGCTTACGCAATCAAAGATAATTTTAATACATTTATTGCAGCTTAGCTAGCTCATCTTTTGCAATTAAATTGGTTTATGAGATTTATTGCTATTGAATGACAACGTTTCAGGTCACAATACTTCAATGGAGCCTTTGTAGACTTGTTGCAACAGAGCAAACTCTCCCAAAATCTTAAGTCCCGGGAGCTTCAGCCTCGAGGTATGTTTTTCAAGAATTTACATTAATTTACTTTCCCAGTACAAGATTTGAGCTATGAATTGTATATAACTTTTCTACCAACAACTCTAATGTTTTCAAAATATTCGACATCTAGTAAATGTCAACTCTACATTTGACCCAGACTGGCAGACGAACACCAAAGCAACAGAAGACTTTGAGTGGAGCTCAGAGCAGATTCTAACTCTACTTGAGTTCTACAGTCTGTACCCTCAGTTATGGGATACCAAACATGAGAGATATATGAATAAGGACGTCAGAAAACAACTCATCTCACAACTTAGTTAGTTTGAAGATTTAGCTCGAGTTTTACCTTAGTATGGATGGTTTCAGCTAATTTCAGTTAATTTTATTGGTTTTCCCAAACTTTCTGTAACTTGGATGTCTATGACGAGTCTTCAGAATACTCTAGATTAATTGATCAAATAGCAGTTTATAAATTAAAATTATTTAATAAATCAACATGATTATTAGCTGCTCCATCCCAATAGGTGACAAGATAGGCGCACCTGAACAAGCAGTGAACGTCAAATTCCAACGTCTCAGAGTCCACTTCTCACGTGAGCTGAGAAAGGAGGAGAGTTCAGCTGGGGAACCACAACCTTACCAGAGCAAATGGAAGTACTATAACAACATGCTCTTCCTCAAGGATACTCTCAAATGCAGGTATGTGTAGTGCAGATATGAGTCATCGTTATTTATTATAGGGGAACTATGTTGTTATTTATACTTGTGATCGAATGTTTCGTTCTGAGGCACCGCCCCGAAAGTAGCATGCATGTGTTAAATGTGTGCACGACCGCATTTTCTACATTGGAAATGGTTTTATTGCTTTATCCTAATTTGCTTAAGAGTGATTTGGGCCAGTATTCAGTGTGCTGTGTTTTTCAATTTGTCACGTTATACCTCTTGATAGTTTACGTGTTATTGTACATTATCATTATATCTGTCCGTAAATTGACATTCTTGCACATAAAAGTATCTCGAAACAAAATTTTTAAATCTATAGCTTTTTTCTGTTGTTTTTCATTAATTTCTCTGGATTGTCCCCTTGATTCCGTACCCAAATGACAATGTCTGTAATTTACTGAAATATTTTTCAAGGGCTTGGCCAGTCGTCACTACTGAGAACACAAAAATGAGGGGATTTTTATTTCGGTAGGTAAAAATTCTCATAGAAAAGTCGCTCATACATTTTCAATTTGTATCTTATTTGAAAATCTGTTGTCGGCAAATAAAATGTACTTTCTTTTATGTTATTTCATATGGCGTCAAAACTATTGTAGGCTTCACGAAAAATTAAACTTAGTTTAAAGAAATACCTCGTTTTCTTTATTCGGAGAGAAAGCAATAAATGTGTGCCTCAATCTTTAAAACGACTGGTCTATGTTTAACTCTTTGAATGGTTTCATTAAAATTTTGCAAAGTATCAAATTAGAATTGCACTCGGAACTCGACCAAATTTGTGGGGTATTTGAAAAACGTTTACAATTGTTGAGTAAATCATAAGTAATGATATTTATTTCAAGGTAATAATTCCGACTCTAATATTTCATATTTTCACGCACATTTAATAACTAATTTTGATAAATGCATTAAGTAATTAACAACTTATTTTAATTAATTAATTAACTAATTAACAACAGGCAGAAGATAAGACAACACAACAGCGAGAAAGACACCTTCAACCTCATGATGGATATGGGTAATAGTGGTGGACTCAATATTACTTCTACAACTAGCTCCGACTCAGGTAACTATTAATTGATTAGTAATAAGTTAGTAATTAGTTAACAATTCAGAAACACGGTAGTCTGATTGCGAGGAAATTTTTGAAGACCTGCCCCTTTTAGAGCATAAGATAATAATAATTTAAGGCGGAAATATTGGACTACGAGAAAGTTTAGAACCACTTAAATGTGGGTCAACTTCTATTGAAACATGTCCATAAAAAATTTCCTTGTGTTTCAGGACACTCATCACCGGACAGTACGAACACAATCTCACCGTCAGTCCCACTTCCTGAAAACAAGGAAAATGTAAGCTATCAGAGTTTCACATTTTACTTATTTTAGGGTAAAAAGTATAAATTGTAACAAGAAAACTGTTGATATCGTCAAAACCAGTTCAACTAATTGATTAATCACCTAATCATCCTGTACTAATTAATCTCCCTCCCAGATGTCACCACCAGTGTCCATGACCCCCAGCTACAAAACCAAAACAACAGTCTCCCCTCTATCTCCCTCTCTGATAACCGCCCCATTCAGCACCCTATCCTCCTCTCTTGTCCCTCCTCTTCTCGCCAGCAACCCTCTCTTCAGCTCCCTCCCTACCTCCCTTCCTACCCCACCTGGTATGAGATTTGTTAATTGCTGTATAATTAGCTAATTGCTGCCTAATTAGTTACTTGTTTGGTGAAGGAGTAGTACGTGTTTTCACCTACAGACAGTAATGCTCTGAACTCAACAAATTGTTAAAATATTAACCTTCACAGTGGTTAGTTTAATTGGTTTGTGGTTATTTTTGTTACTTTTAGTTTGTTTGATCCTAATTACACCACTTAGGCTTGGTAATTAGTTAATTGTTTTCCAATCAAACTTGCACTCTGCCCCTCTACAACCCTAACACATGGGCCACGTCACGACAGCGTTATTTTCTTATAACTCGTGAATTTCAGTGGTTTTGAACGTTTCCTCGTTTCGTGTGAACACCCCACACTTTTTAACACGGTTTTTAACACCTTTTTTAAACATTTCCAGCCTCTCTGCTCAACTCTTTCGCTTCGTTAGAACACCTTCTCTCACCTCGTATGTTGGGTCCTCTACTCATGAACAAGTCAATCAAGAAGGAATCAGTTCATCCTACACTCAGTCCTGGATTTAATCCCCTTCTCAACCCTTCTGCAGCTGTAAGTTATAGTAACAGTAATGTAACAGTAATGTAACAGTAATGTAACAGTAATGTAACAGTAATGTAACAGTAATGTAACAGTAATGTAACAGTAATGTAACAGTAATGTAACAGTAATGTAACAGTAATGTAACAGTAATGTAACAGTAATGTAACAGTAATGTAACAGTAATGTAACAGTAATGTAACAGTAATGTAACAGTAATGTAACAGTAATGTAACAGTAATGTAACAGTAATGTAACAGTAATGTAACAGTAATGTAACATAGTATATTTATTCTTTAAGTGTATTTTTTAAGCCGTGTCAGGATTTTATCGAGAAGGAATGTTCGTGGTTGGGTTGGTTCTGTTATTTTTCTTGGTTTGCGGTTTTTTCGACTCGGCAGTCGGCGTGTTCCTTGCAGACAAACAACTGAACTTTGACTGAATAACGTTTGATAAGTTTTAACACTCCCTGACGATGTTTTTTCTGGAACTACTTCATTGAAATAAACTGTAAAAAGTGGCCATGAAAAATATTAGTAGTTATGGTTACAAAGCTAAGTGTGTCGATATAAAGATTGAATAATAAACAGTTATTTTCTCGGTGCTCAGTTAGTATCGGTATTTGATGAAGTTATTTAATTTGAATGTACTACTTTAATGAAGGAACTTCAACATATAATGTGTTTCAACCTTCAACGGAGAGCTCAACTAAAATAATTCAGGAGCATTTAAGATTAATAATAAATTACAAATTGTATCACTTGGTAATAACAACAAAGCTTGTTATCACGAGTTACCTATCACGTGTTAGTTATCACGCGTTATTTATCACGTGTTATTTTTCAGGGGACGCTGTTAGCACCCACCCCTCAACTCCCAACCTCTCCTCTAACTCCCAATGTGGTATGCAGTGCTCCTAGCTTCTGGAACAGTCCACACGTTCTTACTAGTTCTAAAGAGGTTCGTCTTCATAAAATGCGTGATTTTTCGAATTTTTTTTGTACATGTTTTGTACATATTTATATTATATTATACAACATTCTTGTTTTTACGTTCCGCCATTTATTTGAATGTATCAAAAAGTGGGATTTTTCCCCTGAGTAGCTTTCTAGCTCAAATAGCTGGTATCATGTTTACATAACCTGTATCCTTTGTATCCTTTGTATCCTTGCATCATGTTTACATAACAATTATTAGGACGAAGACTCCGCAGCGTTGAAATCTTATCATGCAAAGAGACAAAAGCTGAAACAGGTAATTAATTAATAATGGTTGATTATTTTATAATTAATGAATAATCCAGCTCCTTAAATTCTTAAATTGTGCCGGGAATAACCAAAATTTCTTTAATTCCTAAAATACTTGTAATTCCTGTAATTCCTAACTTTGTGTCCAGGCTAACAGGACAACTCTAGAGATTGGGTCTCCCACTGATCAGTTATCAGACTGCGATTACTTTAGTCTTCACGTTAGCGAGTCTTTGAGGAAGATGGATATCATCGTGAGTTATTGTTTCTTTTTTCCCCTAATTAATTGTTTTCATTAGTTAATTATCCCGATTAATTAAGCCTATTAATTAACAATTAGCTTAAATTACATTTTATTCAGTGTGCAGAGGAGTGTAAGAGAGCGATACAAAACACAATCTATCAGTACATAATGAAGTCGTGCCAGCGCCAACCCTTCTTCAACAGCAGCGTACCTTACCCGCCTCGCTTTCCTTCACCTAACACGACCAACGTGAGACTGGTTAACCGTAAATCATGAGGTGTGTGAGTAATTAGTGTGATTAACTAATTAATTAAGTTGTTAATTACAAAGTTCTGAGTTATTTAAGTTAGTTGTTGGTCAGATCCGAGGGACAAGATAAGATGAAAAAGGAAGAATTAAAGGGAGGAAGACTGGTGTTATAATTGAACATTATTTGAGAATAAATTATTATTAACGTATTTAATTTATTATATAAGTTATTTTGATGAGAATGGAATAACTTATTAAGAAAAGGAACGAAGCAAAGGGACTATTAAATAAATCACCTGATTAGTAATTACAAGATTAGGGGCGTGGAGGCGACACATTTTTTGACAACTAACGCGTGATAGCTAACGCATGAGATTGTTAGAGCTATTGTCACATTAAATACCATAAATAAAATACGCGAAGTTGATATCCGTTGTCAAAACAACCACGTTTTATCCCTGGCCCCGCCCCTAAATTCTAAATTCAGGCTAATTTTAGACCTGCCAATATTTTGTTATCTTTGACATCTTAACTGCTTTTTATTTGCCCTCTCAGACACAACGAATTACGTTGTTTTTTTAGTGTGTTTTGTTTTTAGAAATATTGTGTGAACATTTGATCTGGGGGTTTTTAACTTGATATAAGTCAGCTCATTAGTCGGTTAATTAGTCTGATGATTAGTCGGCTGATTAGTCAGCTAATTAGTCAGCTAATTAGTCGGTTAATAAGTCTGATGATTAGTCGGCTGATTAGTCAGCTAATTAGTCGGTTAATTAGTCTGATGATTAGTCGGCTGATTAGTCAGCTAATTAGTCAGCTAATTAGTCAGTTAATTAGTCGGTTAATTAGTCTGATGATTAACCTTTAAAACGAACATTCTTACCTTTTTTGGCGGTCGTCGCCGAATACCTGTGATTCTTGTTATAACGAATTTTTATTTATTTAACATTCTTCTTACGTTTTTACTCTAAATGGTTTTGTTTACTGGTAAAAATAATCAGTTTTATTTATTATCTTCACCGAAATAATCAAGAAATTAATAGAAAATTACTACGTATCATTACACCATTTGTTATTATAATTACATAATATAATAATAGATAACTAATATATTAACCTAACTAAGGAGATCCTCCTCGTTATTAACTCGCATAATTAACGACAATTTAATTAATTAATTAATTAATAGTTCTTGATTAGTTCGGTGTAACACGGTGTGGACAGGGTTTTATACTTTTTATTTAATGATTTTTGTCTGTTCTGTTTTAAGCTCTCTAATTTTTTAAACGGAGTAATATATAATATGGTAGATCACACAAATATTATGTTTAATATACGACGATCAATTCGATAGATTTAGTATCATCATTATCACACGATCAATTATATGATTAATTAACTGATCAATTAATTATATGATTAATTAACAAGATGTTGAAAAGGCTGATATGATTGCGGCTGATTGATGAAGGAATGAGAGATAAAATTAGAAATTTCATTTAACCACGAATTTTTCGAGTCATGTTATTTTAACTGAATGTTGTGTTGTGTGGAATCTAAGAATTTGTGGAATGTAAGCCTCAGAGTTGTTTGTTTTTTGTCAAAACACCGTTTCAGTTGTTTTGACTTTTTTACCTTTCAAGATGTGCCATATTATTAGAATAAGATGTATTTGTTGAAGTCTCGGTTTGTTTTCATTACTTTGTCTTTACACACGGCTCAAAATTCACGATGTGAACTAAACACATTAACCAGAGAGAACGAAGTAATTAATTAACTAACTAATTAGTGGTTCGTTAATTGATTTTTAGATTGATTATTCCAGAACTGTCCATACGACTAAGTGGAGTTAAATTATTATCAAGTAAATCAGGAGAGGAGCACATCTTTGTTTTTCCAATATTTTTCTAGTTCACTTAACTGTCACACACGGTACGCTGTCACACACGGTACGCTGTCACACACGGTACACTGTCACACACGGTACGCTGTCTCACACGGTACACTGTCACACACGGTACACTGTGACACACGGTACACTGTGACACACTGTGACACGCAGGCTCGACCGGTCTAGCTTCTGCAGTTCTGCTTCTAGCAAGCACACAAATATTCGGGACTCCAAGCCTCAGCACGTGATTAGAATACAGCTCCCTGATTGGTCGGTTTGTATCACGTGACTAGAATACAGCTCTCTGATTGGTCGGTTTGTATCACGTGACTAGAATACAGCACGTCTCCTTTACTGCGACCCTAGACCGGTACAACCTAGAAGCTCTTTATTTTGATGTTATTTAACTTAGAAATATCTTGTATCTTTATTTTTAAGTCTATCCATGATATATCCATCGATATTGATGATTTGAATTTTGTATTATTTTCAAAGTTTTGAGTTTTATTTTTATTTAATTAAAGATACCACGAAGCAGTATCTAACGAGGAGTGTTCTGGAAATACAGACGAAGTTCTGTGTTAAGTTATTAGTACTATGATTAATATGATTAATATATATGACAATAGCTAGTATTTCACCACATATTCTTATGTTTTAACACCTCTAATCTCTATATGCACTGGTTACGTAAGCGGGTTGGAACCACTTTTAACTAAATGACGTAGCTGGTTCAAGCCCTTGCAACATAATACTAAGAAATCCTCATTTCACTTGCAGACTTTAAGATGTAAAGCACGATTATGATAATTTGGACTTGCAAATTTTAAGACAAATCATTATTTAGACTTTAGTGACTCAAGTGGTAAGATGATTTTAACAGTCCTGTCCCAATTCTTACAAATCTACTTTTCTGTCTTTCTGTTCATGATAACAATATAATTCAGAGTAAATCTAAACTCAGCACTAAAGCCCCATCCTCCATTCTCATCTCACATTCTCATCTCACATTCTCATCTTAAAGTCTCATCTTCCAACCTGTTGTTGCAGTTCTGTACGTTGATAATATGTAACCCTCAGTTCAGTATCCTTCCCTTACACGTTTATTGAAAGCTCATTCCAATTATTAACACATAGAAAACTCCTGCACCCCTGCAGGGAACATGGTTCATCTGCTCCAACCACGTGATTAGAATACAGCTCTCTGATTGGTCGGTTTGTATCACGTGACTAGAATGCAGCTCTCCGATTGGTTGGTTTGTGTCGTGTGACGGGAAATAGCAGCCCTGATTCGCTGGCTTGCAGGGTACTATGTATCAAGTTTTCCTACAATTGAGGTCATTAGGAGTAGTGGGGTTTTTTGGACTGTTGCCAAGTACGAGGAGTGTTTTTCAAGCACAACCTTGTTTGGAGCTCATGTTTGCAGTTCTGATCTGAAACACTCTGAACTGCCCCTCCATTGAAATCAACAATTATTCAAAAAATGTTTCACATCCAACATCCGTACTAAACCATAGAACTGCTTATTTAACACCAGACATATCAGTTACAACTCCCCAAAATACCACCCTACCCCCTGATTCCCCTCCGCAATACTCCCAAACAAGCCCCCCTCAAGGGTTCCGTCACGTAATTACCAGCGAGCATGCTGTTTTCCCGATATAACTATAATAATCGGGGGAAGGTAGTGCACAAGTTCCGTGTGATTGCAGTTCGGTCTTGTGTCTCCGGGGGAGGTTGTGATTGGTTGGATTCAGTCACGTGGGCGCTGGATTTAGTCACGTGGGTGGATTGCGACCTGCTCATTGGTTGGGATGTGTCACGTGGTGAGTATCGGAGGCTAACCGAGCTGTTATTATGGGGGATATGATGTCATGTACTTAGTTCTGAATGGATTGACCACAGTGATGAGGCATGAGAGAATGTTGGGTTTAGAAAAGAGACACAATCTCATCTTCTTCACCCTCTAGGGGAAGGTGCAACACTTTTCCCAGAAATGTAGCATCATAATAACAATGGTCTGGTGGTTTTCAAGAGAATGTTTCTTATAAAATAATACAACACCCCTACTTTTGAGTGGTAGGAGTGTACTCAACTAGTATAGATATAGAGGTTATAACATATTGTCCGGTATCTCCGAGGATAAAATATATTGTCGGACGGTATCTCCAAGGATAAAATATATTGTCCGGTATCTCCGAGGATATAATATATTGTCCGGTATCTCCGAGGATATAATATATTGTCCGGTATCTCCGAGGATATAATATATTGTCCGGTATCTCCGAGGATATAATATATTGTAGGTTAACATATTGTCCGGTATCTCCGAGGATAAAATATATTGTCGGACGGTATCTCCAAGGATAAAATATATTGTCCGGTATCTCCGAGGATAAAATATATTGTCCGGTATCTCCGAGGATATAATATATTATCCGTTATCTCCGAGGATATAATATATTGTCCGGTATCTCCGAGGATATAATATATTGTCCGGTATCTCTAACAATAACGGGCGGATTCCCACCCCACAAAACATCAGATAATTTTCTATTGTAATTTTCTCAAAGAGACAGCGCCATTCTCAGTCCAGTTAAATGTTACTAAAATCAGTCAATTTTATGGTACACAACCGTCTGAATCAGGGTCACCAATCAACCTTCAGTATTCCCCTGATCAGCCAATGAGCATTCAGGAAATACCTCACGTGACATCCTATCGACCAATCAGCATCGAGGAAATATCCCACGTGATATCGTATCTTGAATCCAATTACTTGGTAGGCTTTACCGGTCGTGTAATAAGATTAAACGTGAAAGTGGGTGAAAATGGCCTCTTATTAGGAGGAAGTAATGATGTTTGTGAAGGTGAAAAAAGGAGGATTCCTCCACACAATAGGTAATGAATTGTGCTCTAAATTCTCCTCTAAATTTCCCTGGGCAGCTTTTTTAGAAGCTGTTGATTTTTCCGTGATGAAATTAGAACTTTTGAAATCACCGACCTTTTTGAGAGTCTGCAAATAACCAAGAGGCTGTAAATCAGTGTTGTAGCTGTAGTGCTCAGCCTAATCTAGCATTGCTCTCACAATCTCAATAAAGGGCTAGTGGTGGTGACCTGGGCCCTTTCTTGCAATTTCATTTAGATAAAAAAGGAACACCCATTTCAGATAAGATATCGCAATTTTGCTGGTCGCACTGCAGCCTTAAGCATAATAGGGAATATATAATATAAAATATTATGCTTTTTATGCTGGCAAATTGTAGATAACAAACAAGGTCATTAAACTTGAGCACATTTGCGTCAGATATCAACCAAACAGATAGCATATTCTAATTTCTGGTCTTTTGGCAAAGCCAACCAGTCACAGGCTGTAAAGAAGGCACATCTTTTGTCATGTGACAAACCAACCAATCAGGAAGCTTTACTGCAATCACCCGACAGACACCAACCAATCAGAGAGCTTTTCAACGATCACCTGACAGACACCAACCAATCAGAGAGCTTTTCAACGATCACCTGACAGACACCAACCAATCAGAGAGCTTTACCGCACTCACCTGACACAATCCGCCCAATGGGAACACTTCACTGTCTTGTGGATTTCCCGGAAGGACTCGGAGTGTGCCAACTGGCAGCTCTGTTTCTCTGAAGTCACGTGACTTGTTACAATTTCTCTGTATTCAATGATGTGAAGCCGTACTAATCCCTCGTCATCTCCACACGATGATGATGTATGTACAACGAGCTGCTCTCTCCGAGTCCAACACTCCTGACTCCTTACTCATACTTAGAGGATGTCACGTGACTCATTACTCATACTTTAGAGAATGTCACGTGACTCCTTACTCATACTTTAGAGAATGTCACGTGACTCCTTACTCCTTACTCATACTTTAGAGAATGTCACTTGACTCCTTACTCCTACTCATACTTTAGAGGATGTTACGTGACTTCTTACTCCTTACTCATACTTTAGAGAATGTCACGTGACTCCTTACTCATACTTTAGAGGATGTCACGTGACTCCTTACTCATACTTTAGAGGATGTTACTTGACTTCTTACTCCTTACTCATACTTTAGAGAATGTCACGTGACTCCTTACTCATACTTTAGAGAATGTCACGTGACTCCTTACTCATACTTTAGAGGATGTTACTTGACTCCTTACTCCTTACTCATACTTTAGAGAATGTCACGTGACTCATTACTCATACTTTAGAGGATGTCACTTGACTCCTTACTCCTTACTCATACTTTAGAGAATGTCACGTGCCTCATTACTCATACTTTAGAGGATGTCACTTGACTGCTTACTCCTTACTCATACTTTAGAGAATGTCACGTGACTCATTACTCATACTTTAGAGAATGTCACGTGACTTCTTACTCATACTTTAGAGGATGTCACGTGACTCATTACTCATACTTTAGAGAATGTCACGTGACTCATTACTCATACTTTAGAGAATGTCACGTGACTCCTTACTCCTTACTCATACTTTAGAGAATGTCACGTGACTCATTACTCATACTTTAGAGAATGTCACGTGACTCATTACTCATACTTTAGAGAATGTCACGTGACTCCTTACTCCTTACTCATACTTTAGAGAATGTCACTTGACTCCTTAGTCCTTACTCATACTTTAGAGAATGTCACGTGACTTCTTACTCCTTACTCATACTTTAGAGAATGTCACTTGACTCCTTACTCCTTACTCATACTTTAGAGAATGTCACCTTACTCCTTACTCATACTTTAGAGAATGTCACGTGACTTCTTACTCCTTACTCATACTTTAGAGGATGTCACGTGACTCCTGACTCATACTTTAGAGAATGTCACGTGACTTCTTACTCCTTACTCATACTTTAGAGAATGTCACGTGACTACTTACTCCTTACTCATACTTTAGAGAATGTCACGTGACTTCTTACTCCTTACTCATACTTTAGAGGATGTCACGTGACTCCTGACTCATACTTTAGAGAATGTCACGTGACTTCTTACTCCTTACTCATACTTTAGAGAATGTCACGTGACTCCTTACTCATACTTTAGAGAATGTCACGTGACTCATTACTCATACTTTAGAGAATGTCACGTGACTCCTTACTCCTTACTCATACTTTAGAGAATGTCACTTGACTCCTTAGTCCTTACTCATACTTTAGAGAATGTCACGTGACTTCTTACTCCTTACTCATACTTTAGAGAATGTCACTTGACTCCTTACTCCTTACTCATACTTTAGAGAATGTCACCTTACTCCTTACTCATACTTTAGAGAATGTCACGTGACTTCTTACTCCTTACTCATACTTTAGAGGATGTCACGTGACTCCTGACTCATACTTTAGAGAATGTCACGTGACTTCTTACTCCTTACTCATACTTTAGAGAATGTCACGTGACTCCTTACTCCTTACTCATACTTTAGAGAATGTCACGTGACTTCTTACTCCTTACTCATACTTTAGAGGAT